ATTGGCGTCTTTTTAACGTTGCCTAATATAATGAAAAACTGAAAATAACATTAAAATAGTGATCATGTTGTAAGCCGCCCACTTCTTCCTAAATCAAGGTTGAATTTCACATATCAGAAATCGCGATATTTGAATATTTGTCACACTTAAATAGCACTTGAAAAATTACCTTCCCCAAAAATGTCTCCTGTTGAAAACAATATTAAGACTTTAAATTTGATTTCTGTTAGATAAAAAAGGAGAGAAAGAACTTACATAAAAAATAAATGTCGTCCAACTCTGCTCTGGCTGGGGTGTTCTTTACTTTCAAGATGTACGGAGGTGGTGTTGACGCTGACGAGTTGGAATCTGGAACAACCGCGAATCCGCCATTCGAAGATTCCAGCTCAGCTGTTTTGCCTTGTTCGGCAGTTTGCGCCAATTTATTTTTCCCATCTCGGGCTAGACTGTCTGTTGTGGCATGGCGTTGATCTTTATTTCTCTCCGAATCAATATTTAATCGCTCCTTTCGCTCATAATTTCTATTTGTCCTGATATCATGCCGATTTTTACTCTCTCCGTCATTTTTCGGGGTTAACCGCCTCTCGTTGTTCGAAAGCTCCTTCGATTCGACATCATGAGAATTAGCCTTATCTTCTAATGCTTGGCTTCCACTATTCGGTAACGTTTCCTCCAAGAGATTTTTACTTGATTCATCTTCCAGACTATCCAAACTAGAGTCTTCGAGCCCGGTCGCTGGAGCGCTCTCTAAATCCCTCTCTTCTTCGTCGCTCAGAGAAGACGCTGTCGTCGGAGTATTTCTCCTGAAGGAATCGAAAACCTTGTGCAACTCTAGTCCGTCAGTGACTACTACATTTTCATACTCGGCTCTTTTCTGTTCCACACCTGAAAAACATATTCAACATGCTTGACGAATGAAAAATATGCAAAAAGGTACATGAACAGAAAAGCTTGTTGGTCTAAAATGGCGAATACTGCCTTAATTCTTTGTTCTAAATCTCAAGATATGGAGAAAAAAAAATCCCACCGGCAAACCAGGATTTCAACAAAGGGTTGGTTCTACCACAGCAAGAAGCTGTAACTAGTATTTTGAAAACTGATACATTGGGAAATTGTCATTTCTTCTGATATGAGATTCGTTGCATATGCCTCGCCATGTTTGAATTTCGCTTTCCTTCACGACGCTGAGCTGAATTTTATTTGCTCTTTTTTGGCAGTAGAAATTCTGTCAAAACCTATCTTCCAACAAAATTTATGTCGGTTCAAGTAGTTCTAATACATGGTCGAGAGATCACAATATTTTCCAGCGGACGTCCGTAAACTTCAAAAATTTGAATATTTTTCACGCCAGTGGACCGTAAAACGCGGAAAAACAACAGGTCGCAAGGGCAAAAGTAATATGCTTTCAACGCCAGAAAAATAAGGAACATATGAGGTATACTATAACCTACATGCCCAAAATTTAAGGGCAAAAAATCAAATTCAAGCAGAAAACGCTCTCAATGAATAATGTAAATGTAAACAAGCAACTCGCCCGTTCGCTTCGCACAGAACTTCATTTACACCTACCGCGAGTTTTGGTTTTCGAAACTATACGTCGTTGGAAAACAAGCCTGGCAGAAGATCTAGCCTCCCAAATAAACGCAATAAAGTTTCAAAATTTAAACTACGTAAATTCAAATTTTCACGACGTAATTCCTCCGTTACAAGAACCTTGGTACAAGACATCTTTCCGCTCCACCACGCGTGAACATCACTCGGTGTACCTGCAATCTTTCACGTCGGTACCAGTTTCGGGAACTACTCCAGAATAAAACAACTAGAGCATCAAATTGTACAGTACTTACCTCCTATATGCTGACTTCCCTGGAAGAGTAAAAAGGAAAGAAAAAGGAGGTACAGGTTCGAATTCATCGCCGAAACTTCACCCCACCATTTTCAAACATTCGAACACCCGTCACCGGAAAGCTCTCTTCACGAACGGCTGTGTTCCCACGTTTCTGTTTGTTTTCGTCATAACTGCGGACCGACTTTTGCAAATAAGTGGATAATGAAAACGCACAGAGAAAATGGAAATTTAAATTACGTGCTAGCTTGTAGATCAAAGGTTATGTTGGTCTAAAGAAAGGACTGGATGATCAACATGAAAAGGTATCAACCTTTACCATTTTTTTTGTAGCCCTTACTCAGCCGTTTCTTTCTCTTTTTCGATCAATATTTTTTTTTTTCAACGAGCAAACGAGCTCGCAAGAGCGACCGCAAAAATAAACCGTCTATTTTCTGTTTCCCCGCCCCCATGCACCCTCGTGCGTTTGCGGTTGTTTAATTTTCCGTAGTTTATTTAGTGCCCTCCGAGATATGATGTTACAGAAAAGAAAAGGTCAGTGAACAGACTTATTATGTTTCGAAGGAATCCACTGTGAAGTAATCTGCCTGGCGTGACTGAAAAATAGGTGGATCAGAAGTCCATAAATTTTGATGTCATCCGGCTAAAGTCGTTGAATACGTGTATTGTAATTTCAGTGATAAGTAAATATGCAAATATTTTAAATAATTTTATTAGCACCTCGACGCTCGATCATTCTGCCTACATGTGTTTGGTTGCGTTGTGTTAATATTTGAAGAGAAGATATAAACTAATTGGCAGGTTGTTTTACAAATTAAAAGAATTTTAAGATATACAGTCGAAAATTTTCGAATTCGGCACGGTTTAAAAATGCAACACCACAAATGCAAGAAAGAAAAAACAACAAAAAGGAACTGAAACAGAGGGTGTTATTAATTCTGCACCCATGCCAGACCTTGCAGGCAGATAGCAGCAGTTGTCAAGAGAACATCGGACCTCTTGTGAAATGTGACTGGTTTTGAGGTATTACGCTGAATGACCAGACCGTCAGTCTTTGAGTTTGTTGAATGAATGTAGGATCTGCAGTCAATGCTTCCAATGCTAGGCGCATTGATTATTTGGACTTATATATCGATCTCTGCCGCCTCGAAACAGACCTGTATTTGACTGCAGGTTTTCGGTGTACCTAGGGACTTGGAATTAAGAGGGGCTCTAGATTGTACCCTATTATTTTATACTTAATTGTTAAACCGAATAAGAAAGCCGATAGGTTTGGGGTTGGGAATTTCCAACGCTCTCTCGAGTCCAGTCTCCGTTCCTGCCAGTAACTTGATCAAGCCTGTTAATCCTGGATTCTACTCAGTGAAATTTAAGAGAGGATGCGAGATGCGCTTTTTAAAACTCTTTACTCTTTTACAGACAGAAATATGTGATCTTGCTTACTTTTTTTTCAAATCTGACCCAAACTTTCCATACCCAGTTACAGACTATAGTTTAAAAACATACTCTAATTCTGCAGATCACAATGGCCAAAATTTACAGCCCATTTCAGACCAAAATGGCAGGAGCTTTGCTCCGCATATACCTCTATAACTTAGATAAGAGACTAACCCTCTCCACCCCCTCTCTCCCGCTGGGAAAGCGCATGTGCGCATGAACCTAGTCCAGGAGCCTCTGATTCACATATGGCAGGTGCACGAAGCTTAACGTTTTCGTACGCAAAAACTTTTTACCGAATAGCATAAAGCAGCTTGAAATAACCTGAAACAACCGAATTCAATAAAGGTTAAGGTTTCTACCAATGGATGTTCTCAGTGCTCTGCTGATGTTGCTGTTGTTGTCAATTTTGTCATTCTGCGTGCGATAAGAAGGTTTCGAAAAGGTCTTCTACGTACAAAATTAGTAATAAATATCATGCTTTATTGATAAATCGGATTTACGTCACTCAAGCCAAGCCGATGTCGGGATATTATTTATTCTTTAAAAATAAATTGCGTCAAAATTGATAAAATGCAAATCTTCTTAGCATGGAGACGACTCATCCCGCGGGAAAAGGTTTTCATTTGAAATTTGGAAGGAATACAAGATCGTAAAACAAGTTCGGCTAGATTCTCCAACCAGTGATGATGTGAGTGCGTTCATACATCAGGATTAGCCCGAAAACCAAGTTAAGAAAACTATTTACATGTGTTTTCATTATGAAACTACTCACTTTTGAAGACAATAAACCTCAGCAAGTTCGCGAAAACTTTTAAGCCTTACTTTTGAATTATCTTTGGTTTGAATTATATGGCTAACTGGCCTATAAATGCTTCTCATTTTCACCAGTTTGCTATCATAAACTCTTGCGAAACCAGAGAAAATCTAATTATTTATTCAGCTGGATAAAGCATTTAACGAACAAGATAAAATATTTGTTTCATTGCGCCTGCATGCCCACGCTGATTTAAATGGAAGGAAATAAAAGGGGTTTAATTCAGCAAATATTTACGAAGCTCTGACGTCACAAAGTGATAATCACAATGCAAGTAAAGGAGAAAAGTACACAGAAATCGTATTTATTCAAGCAGATTTTTTTTATAAAGTACATTATTCTCGACATATAGGATACTCGTGTGATTTGCTTCAACCGTACAGCTTCGTCATCAAAATCGATTTTGAAAACCAAATATTGGTGAACATAAAACAAAAAATGAATATTTCGCAATACAATATTGTTAATCATGCTGATGGTGGAAAATTAATTATTGTAAATTCTTTAGAAACAGGGACAGAAAAGACATTTATCAAACTACATAAACTGAACGGCTATCGCACGCAATTAAAATTGTGGAATATTTTTTGTTTTTTACTGAATTGACTCAGTTTTAAATTAACTGAAAAATGAACTGCGTTTTTATTTATAGTTTCCCTCTAAAACCCACAGTTACACAGTATAACGACTTGTGGTGTCAATAACATTTTTAATTAATTCACTTTCACTTTACGAAGAATCTGTAGAAGAAGATGTTAAAGAATAGTTTTAATACTCATTATATCACACATTCGGTGAAAATTGAATGTTTTGTTTTTTTCACAAATGCTGTGTGGGTACGCTGAGATGAAAGACTACTGTCAATTTTAACGGACAGTATTTGATATAGGGTGGTAAGCTATTTAAAGATTGCTGCCTGCTGCTTATCAAGAAAGGGTCGGCCATGGGGGGTAGTGGTATACCAATATACCTGAAAGGAAAAACCTATTATACCGAAAATGTCCCCTCAAATTCATGCGACATGGAAATATTTAAAAAAACAAGGTATACGTTATACCCATAAAAGGTCTAATTTTGGCGTCAAAATACCGTATACTCGGTTTAAAATCCCCCTGTTTACTGTGTAGGCGTACTTGTACCCCAAAACCCTGGCCGACCCTTTCATCGTCGTGAGAGAATTTCCCGTGACCGTCTTCCATTGTTTCTTTTTTTCTCTCGTGCACTTAACGTTTTACAGATGAATGTCTCCGTCTTACCTATTATGAAAACCAAACCCTCAGGAGACGAAATGGTGTTTTTCTCTTAACAACAAAAGAACATAAATATACTTGAGGTTCAGCGTTATTGCGGAAGACTAGTCTCAAAAAGTTTCTTGGCACAACTGTGGGAGTTAAATTATAGATAACAGACTGAATAGCAGAAACTATACACAATAACCCACGCAAAGTGGGTCCATTTTTGGTATCTTGGGTGTTTTGTAGTAAATTATAAACTTAGTGCAGTAACTCTTTTGTCTCTTTTGGTAACTATTTCTCTTGTGTACTCTTGTATATCAGTTGTTTTTTCAAAGAATAGGCCCCATTGTCGGTTGTTTTGAATTATAAACCTCGACAAGGTGAAAAAAAAAAAACAAAAAAAACAATCGCTATCAAATGCTCATTAGCAAAGAAAAATACAGGCTTGAACTTAATCTACTTCCTTCCTCCACTGATTGCAAGCCGGAAGAATGGGGTCTATTAAAATTCTGCAAACTTGCTGATCCATTAAGCCAACTAACCTACGATTATCCGCTGCGAAAAAATATGTATCCTAAGGAGAGGCTATATAGGTTTTATCGCACAAGGTTTTGGTGTCATCTTGCGGATTAGCGGTGGAAGGTTCAAGTTCATTTTTAGAATCATCCGGCT